CCCTCTCATCCGGCTGGCTGTCTGCTATCCCCTACAACGACCACAAGACGCTGAACGACTTCCAGTACCGTCTCGCTGTCACCGAATGACTCGGCATCACCCACCCTGATGTGGGCCGGGGGTTTACCGGTGTCGATGACGCTATGAAATAGCGCGTTAGTTAAAGGTTAACGCTGCGGGGGATCGGCCAAGCTGCGAGCATTATGTGTTACGAAGAGGCCAACGAAGGTTGTTCTATCTTTCCGTCAAACCGTTATTGGACCACGCATCTGGGTGCCTCTGTGTCTGTCTCTCTGTTGAGTCTCTGCGGAATGCCCTTCGCCTCGTGTTCGCTGGTGGACGTTTGCTGGCGCTTCCTGCAGGGGAGCAAGCCCCATCACAAATCCGCCCACAAACCACACAACCCCGCGCACAAGCCCGCTCACAACCCACCTGACACACACAACAGACAGAGACATGTGTGTGACAGTCGACGACTGTCCAGACTCCAACGCAGAACAAGGGGCATTGCACCATGGCGTCTGTCCACACGACTGACATACACAGAGAGAGAGAGACACGTGTGGAAACAGAGACACAGCTGGAAAGTGCTGTGGAGGTGGGCTCACCGGCCGCCGAGGTGAGAAGCGCCACCACGAGCGATGGCGGCAAGGACCGCATCTCAGCAGAGAGAGTGGTCTCAATTCCCTTTTGTTTTGCTGCGAGACATATAACCCGTCTTTCCCTGGACCAAAGTGACATGTAGGGGGCACGAGAGAACATGCTTCGCACCTCATTCGAACGAGCATTTTGATTTTGATTTATGCATAGGGCATACGCGGGGGATCAGCATGTGTCCATATGCCATGTCTTTGCGCGATGATGGGGTCTAGGGCAGTCGGCGTAAAGCTGTCACGGCTTTCCCTCTCGAGTCGAGCAGGGAGGCCGCAACGGGCAACCAATGAGATCCTGCAACAACAGTCAGAACGACGCACCCATCCAGTGCATTCGTGCGTGTTTGTCGCTGCATTCAGTTGTCAGTCGACATCATTCGACGTGTGTTATGCGGCTGCCCGTGCACGTTATTGCTGCTCTCCCATATGCTCTCGCATACTGGCTCCCCCCCCCCCCTCCTTTGACCCCTGCCACCACTGCCTCGTCGACCATCCCCTGTCGCCCCCTCACCTCATGCCCGTCCCGCCACCTCCTCCGGCATAGCACCAGGCTGGCCATGTCTGAGGAGCAAGCGACGAAACAAGTGACGGCCGATGACACGGAGAGGATCCAAATACCGGTATGTAGAGTGAGGGTACACGGCACAAACAAACAGCTTTGGTGCAACACGGCAAGTTCACGCATGGTGCGTTGTGGGACTTGTGTGTTGGCTTTTGCAGTCAGATCTCGAGGAAGCCAGAGTAAGGAGGGCGAATGTACTGCACAACAATTCACACCGTAACCATCTGATCTGCTTTATGTCTTATCGTGACAGAAACGGCTCAATTACTCGGGTGTGGGGATAGCAGTCTTCCAAATCCAGGCAGAGAGAGGACAGCTGGCGGTCGATCGCCTGGAAGAGGCGCTGCTCGATGCGGAGGACCACATGGACGGCTTGGAAGAGGAGATCGAGAACTTGACAAACAAGCCTCACAAGACCCGGTACGTACCAAGCAGACACCCATATACATACATGACACACACGCACTCAGACAGACGCGATCCATACAGTAAGTACTGGGTGTGTGTTTGTGCTCCTGTGTCAATCAATATCAGCGAGGAGCGCCGTCGCTTGAGGCATGCAACGGATTTGTTGGATGACTGGAAACGGAAAAGGCAGTGGACACAAAAGTTGAGTAAGCCGGGAAGCGACAGGCAGCATATGGGCAGTCAGAACGGACGACAGGCTGGGTGGGGAACATTGCATGTATGTTTGTGTTCGTCAACAGTTCGGGAGTACATGGCCGAGTCGTACAAGTACGGTAAGCGAGCGAGCCTCTCAGCCAATCAAGCGCACACCAACCATGACGCACGCATGTCCACAATAATGGAGCTGCATGGCGTCTGTTTGTGTGTGTTCGTCAGCACTGGGGCTGAAGTTTCGTCGTCAGAACCTGCTCAGCGGGGTCGACAGACTCACATCGATGCCGGCCGACGAGCCGTAGAAGAGTTGGTCTCTTTTTTGAGTGCATGCAAACCGCCTCCTCACCTGTCTGTCTGCGTTAGTACAGTAGTCTGTCGAAACAAGCTGGTTTACAATTCAGAGCTTCTTCTATGCTTTCGTAGTCACTGGAGACGTTGCGAAGTACCCCTGGGCGAACACTGCTGTTAAACTTTCCCGACGTTGTTAATGACGACGTTGTTAAACTTATGAGTTATATTTTTCTGCCCCACGTGTGCCATATGCATAAATCAAGCAGAAAATGCTCGTTCGAATGAGGTACAAACCATGTTCTCTCGCGCCCCCCACAGGTCAATTTGGTCCAGGCAAAGACGGGTTGTTATGTCTCGCAAAACAAAAGCGAATTCCCCCCCCCCCCCCCC